ATATATCACAGACTCTGAGTAAACTCTCCTGAGTAGAGAAACCTGTTTGAGGTTGTTGAGTTCTGTGTCTCTAAGGTTCAACCTCCTGATTGTGCTGTTACCCAGCTACCACTATAAAAACATGGTTAGTCTTTGGGAGGGAGGGACGGAGAAAGATAAACATGGTACATTTATGGTATGCTTATAATATTTATTTATTTCTACAGAAGACTTTTAACACCCCTTCCCTACCCCACCCCCAAGGCCCATGAAAGATACAATTGGTCTGAGCCAGAGTACTAAACCTACTAAATCTTGCTCTCACAGAGACCTGAGGTCATTCTTTACTACACTTTTGGGGACAAGAGTTTTGGAAATTGCCACAAGTGTCTCTAAACAGGGAAAACTTTGTGTCTTCCCCTCTTTCTCCACTCTTCTTGGAGCCTATCTCTACTTAGTCTCTGTATTCAGAATCACCCTAGAGCCAAGATATATCTTCTTGTTCTGGAACCACCTTCTAAATTGAAACCAGCAGATGGCTTTAATGTCTCGCCCATGGGCAGTGATCTTCTAAAAGTACCTAAATACACACCTTCCTCTCGTTTCAGAAATTATGAGCACTGTAAAAAGGTGAGGGGAGGAACATCTGGATGTGTATACCTAGGTGTAAATACAGAGTACAGTTTCTTAAGTAGAGTAATACCATTCCTGCTGATGCTTTATTTTTGTATTCTGTGCATGCTGTTAATTTACAGTGCTTTAATGTGTACTGTTTTTGTAAAATGTGTAAGGTAGCTGTAACTTAGCAGTCAGTTTAAAGAAGATATAGACTATATTTGAGAACTGTTAACCTTTAGCAAATGATCTTTTTGCCTGTGTTTTAGTGGGGCCTCTGATGCTACTCCCATTTTGTTTTATGATCTGTTTATGTGGCAATTACCAATTGAAAATAACTTCTGTTTCTGAATTTGGTCCAAGTTAACTGTAGTAACCTTTATATGTGGATGCATTCAAATAAGATCGATTCAAATGATCAGTTTTGTCTGTTGTTTATTAGGACTTTAGTATCCCAATATTAGAGATGTCTTCTGAAGACTGTAGCAGCAGTAGAATCCCTTTGCTCTTGAAAATGCAAAGTACACCATCAGTGTTATACAAACTATCCAGGAGTAGGAGTGGAACATTCTAGGAGCAAAAGTTTGGTTTTAGAATCTGGTAAGGAAGGGCAGCCCATTCTCTAAAAAGGTATCAACTTTCCCAACTTTGAACACTTGTGATAGCTCTACTTAGAAAGGAAGTCGGATTTTTCACCTCAAGGATTTAATGGCGCTAAATTAACAAACATTTTAAAAATGGATTTTGTAGAAACCAATGATTAGGGGAAACTTTGCAAAGCCATATATGGAAATAGTCAAGCACCACGTTAGGTTTCAGAATGTACATTTCCCAAGTGAATAGAATTTACTTCACCAAAAAGATTTTTTGCACAATTCACAATACTTACAGAAATATAATTGTATCATTGGAGGAAAAAAAAAGTTCACCTTCCTAATGATACATTTCACATTCACTAGTAAACTAGTGCAATTCCTTAATTATTTTGGAAGATACACAAGAGTAATCTGTCAATAGAATATAGTTGCTTATTCGTAATTATACCTAGGAATGAATACATATTATTAAAGTATTATTGAATTTTGAAGAACTGCTCAATAAATTAGTATTTTTAATAAAATTGTGCTCTTTGCAGATATGCCTCGCACAAATGCGGAGTTAAAAACATAAAATTATGAAAATACACCAAATAATAAAGGTTAGTATTACTTTAAAATCATACTAATTTCCAGTAGCATTAAATCCAACACCATTTATCTGTGGTATATAACTAAAATTTTGAAGGTCTTGCGCATAAATCAAGAGGCTTCTTCAAAAATGCCTTTTTGCCAAAAACAGGTTCTATGACCTCTTGCTAATTATTATAGACATCTGTAGCAGTTAGGTCCAAATATAGAGCACGACATTCTGTCAGATATTTTACTATATCACAAAATGTTGTAGTACTGTATTTTATAATAAAACCAGATCCTCAAGTATTCTGGTATGTTACATATTATTATACCAACACCCCTTTCTATCAGCCTATTGTGTACATAATATTTTTTGAAAATGATGGGTATTTCAGTCCTAGCAAGAAAGTATAATGCAATATGTGACATTAAATTGATTTTTAGTCAAAACCCATTTATGTATTTGACAGGGAAACTAGCAACCATAAGCTGGAATGTATACATTTTTCTCAAGGACAAAAAGGCAAATGATAACATAAAGACATGGTCACTGGGGCAAGTTAGCTGGTGTGCAGACTGACAAGGAGCAACTTGCAAATGCTCATCAGATTTTAGCTTGTGTTATTGGTTGCTCCTGGAGGGAAAAGTGCTGCAGTCAGTTGACGTTCCCTCCCCTTCACATGGGTTTTTTGCTCACAGCCACTGCATAGTGTAATGAAAACTCTTTAGAAGCAGGATTGAGTCAGAAGTTTAGAGATGCACCTTACTGCTTTTTAAAACCGATGTTGCAATGTTCTAAACACTGTGATCTTTCCAAATGTGTTTTCTGTATTAGTTTTGTACTGTAGAAAATAATTTGCCGTAAACTGGATTCTATTTAAAGTGATGTTATTTATTGGCTTATCACCACTCCTGTTTATGTAGAGTCTACTTAATAAAATAAAACCTGTGATAATCCTTTGCCTTAAAATAAAATCTAACGCTAATTGTGCTATAATGAATAAGTCTAAGCTACAAATTAATGTTTCCTTTAAAGCTTAAGACGGCATCAAATAAAATATTATAAAAATACTCTGTGGAGTGTTGCTGCTTATTCTGTTATTTGTGACTGTGTGTATCTTGATCCAGGACATGGTGGCCGGCTGGGTTCTATAAATAGACATTAGTAATCCTTTTAGAGAATGGGCCTGGTACCTCTCAGCTGTTGGCTGAATCCTCCCCTTAAGCCTTATAAATAGATTTTCCCAGGCCACACAAGAATGAAGAAAAACATCTCTTCATGTTTTCTCCCTTCATAACTTTTGTCTTGATTCCTACCGAATCTTCACATTCTATTTGTGTTCACATCGTTTTCCAAAAGAGAAAAATGCTAGTGATTACTACAGATTGATGGAATCACCTAATTTTGGCAGGAAAAAGTATACCTTGTCATTATTAAAGTCTAGTCCCTTGGAACAGGTTTAGGACCCGAATTTTAGAGATCTATGGTGCCTCCTGAAGTTCTAAGAGACAAGGTGGATTGAGGTCATCCTGACGTTGTCACAGATTCAGCGAGTGGAAAGGAATTGTGTTCGTTTTGGGGCGGACACGCACCAGCAAGGCTAGAAAACCGTTTCCTTATTAGGTCTTGGTTTTGCCCTGAGTTAGTCACAGTTATAGAGGAATAAATTTTGTAGGCAGTTTCTCGGGGAGAGATACGTTGCCTCCTAAGGAGTATCTCTGGTGCTGTTTCACCATCAGCAGCAACGCTTCAGACCACTGTCCCGCATCTGAAAGGCTGAGGGGCAGTTTACTTGGCCCAGTGGAGAGGTAATCCCGGGGTGCATGACAATACACTTGTTTTGAACAGCATCTGTGTGGCGGGTTATTTTTAAACGACTGGCAACGCAAGCCCTTAGAGGAATTAGGTGTTCCTTAGGCCCAGGAAATTGAGACTGGGCGGGAAGGGCGTGCACACCCTAACTCTGAGCCCCTCATCGGTAGCAGTTTCTCAGAGATGGGAGAGGTTGCTAACGCTCGCCCGACCAAGGGGCTCTAGGACCCAGCGGCGGCGCTTGGGGCCA